TCTCATAAATTTTGAGCGTTTGGCAAAAAAAGCGCAATAAATCGATGCATATTTGTTTGTCTAAATTCCTTTACGTATATTACATATTCAATGGGCAGTCGAATTTTTTGTTGCTTTATGTTATGCGAGCTTTCCTCTTGAATCTATCCCAGCAAATAGTTGCTGCGCTGTCTGACTGGAATCAAGTATCGAATAGAATAAAAAAAAAAGAACAGCGATGAGGAGCACAGTGTAATGCGCAACTTTGGTACAACAAAAATACAATTTTCATATCGTTAGATTCCACATGATTTATTTTCTTTTGTGTGTATTTGGAAATATATACTGACTGATAACATAATAATATAAAACTAAAGTATATCTTCTGTTTGCTTAGGGTTTTTGTGTGTTATTTTAGGCAAACATGTATTTCTATAACAATTTGCTCAATGATTCGTCTACAAACTCGAAATTTTCGAATTTCCAGAATCGCTTTGACTCGTCCATAAAAGTATTGGGGTTTACACTCGTTTCTCGGGAAGGATTTTATTGATTTGCGATTTTAGTTGGAGCTTATTTTCATGGAACTTTCCACAAAGCATAAAAATAGCAAAAAAATTCAAGGATTTTTAGAAGTGTTATAAATCAGCATGACAATATATTATAACAAAAAAATATATTGTTGCAAACGAGACAAAGACGCGTTGTGAAATTAGGTTCAATTTTAGTTTCGCGCACGAACGCATCAAACGCACTCGCACCTCGGTAAGCGAATGAATAAATGACTCAAAAACAGACGAACTGAAACATGGCACGTCGCGGCGAATTGGTAACGAAGCAGTCAGTCCATAAAAAGTATAAAAAGATCTCTGCCCGTATTAGTATGCATTGAAGTTTTCCTTTGCGTGGCGAAATCTATTTCGCGTGTTTCTTTAGCGCTCTCTCAGTGCTTTCTTTCATTCGCTCCGTCCGCCCGTCGGCGATTCTTCGTTTCTTCGTTTTGCTGCTTGCGCTAGACGCGTGCTTTCTTCTCCTTTGCACCGCGGGAAAGGTGTTCGGGTGCGAACACCCCTCGTGGATAAAGGCGTTGTGCGCGCCGACCACTCGTTGTATACACGGAAGCCGAAAGAAAAACACGGAGAAATTTAATTAAGATTCGACAAAAGGTGCTATTGTTCCCATTGGGCAAACTTGCTTTCCTATGTGCATGCACGTAACCACAGCAACAGCCACGAGTGTGCCCTTGTGGGCACAATTTGTATTTATAATTTTCTTCTAGGTGTTTCAGCTTACCTGTTTCACTTAAATTCCGTGTTAGTTTTAGTAACGCGTAGAAAACACAAAAACTAGGACAGTTGTGTAATTTGTAGAAAATTAAATTCAGTTGTTTGCAGATTTTGTGTAAAAAATCACTTCGCAGCTTTGTAGCCAATTACTTTCCAGATATAATCAAATAAAGTCATTCCGAATTTCCCAAGCGTAATATGGATAGTAAAACGAGCGCATGAGGGGCTTCATAACACTCCCGGACAAAGTTAGTGCCAGTACACATATATACACAAATACCAACCCAAAAGCAAGCGCAATCCTTTCGGAAACCAAGTGAATAAAATAAAAATATACGCGCGAGACATGACGAACGTACATAATTGCACTTTCTCGAATTGAAAAACTAAGCGGCCAAGCAGAGGCGAGCAAACTTAATGCGCGCCTTTCAAAGCGTCTTTCCGGATTCACGACATCAAATAGATTTCCGTCCTTTCTTCGGAAAGAAAGCAAAATAAAATAAGAAAATTAAAAGACGCGTTTCGCCTCTCTTCGATGCCGCGCACTTAAAGCAACATCTAAAATTTACGCGCGCGTATTTTCTCGTACTGTCGCCTCCAGCCCCCAAGAGGTCGGCAATCGAATGTCGGAAATTACAAAGACTTTCATCCCTTCCATTAACTTCAATTAATCTCATCCATAAATAACGCGGCGCGTCGGAATGCAAATCTGTTGTTATTTTAAACTCGCACACGAGCCTTGACACGTCTCAAAGTAAGTGTCAAAGCAAGTCGACTATTTTCGGAGGGTGCGGTGTTAGAATTCGCGCGTAGGCATTTGTCTAATTTCTTGCCGCGTTTGGATTTCGTGCTGGCGGCGCAAAAAATCCATTACTTCAATTGAATTTTTTATTTGTTTCGTTTGATATCGCCCGGCAACGTCGACCATCAAATGAGGCAATGAGAATGAGGAAATCGCGAAATTCCTTTTCAGATTAGGTATTGCGCGCCGTCTTGCCGCCGCTCTCTTTTCGCAAACTGACGAACCCTCGAATTTTACGACCTTCATCAAGACCACGTGAACTGAATTTTATACAGAGTTACACAAGAAACTAATCCATAAAGAATTTTGTTCTCGGCGCAGCCTCTCGCATCTTCTCTTCCTCGTTTTTGTGGGAGGAGGATGAAGGGTGTACGCGCTTGGCTTTGGGTTTCCTTCCCAAATGCAAGAAAAAAAACCCTGACGTCCCGACTAAAAGGAAACAGCAAAAACGAACCTCGGACGCAGTTTTATGTGGAGAGAAACAAAATGTGCGCCCGCAAAATTTCTTTTTGATAATCCTCCACGACGATGTCTTGAATTCCCGCTGTTTTGTAAAACGACTTTCGCGCAAATGTAATGTGTGTTTATTTCCGAGAGTTGTTGTGTGTGTGTGTGTTTGTTAGTTAAGTCTGTTTTAAACATGTTGCAATAAATTCGAGATAGTCGAGGCGCGACGGCAAAACCTGGCTGGTAACAACATCTGTTACGTTTTGACTCGACTAATTTCTCATTTCTACTTCCGAACAGAACACGGCGACCACCCCAGTCCTCCCTATTCACCCCCAGCTGCGCCTCCACCATTCGTAGATTGATAAATATATACGCGAGCAACTCCAACATTTGCAAAACACGCTCACGCTTCCCAGCCTGCATATTTCACACATTGTTTTTGCGACCCGTTCGCAACGAGGGTGGTTAATATGCATGGCATATATCCAATTGTGTTGCCACTTTTGTGCAGCTAATTTTAGGCATAAATCAATAACAAACACGATTCCAATTTCACAAAAATTTATTTCCTTAAAAAAAACGCAACGTAAATTACGTTCAATTTGCAGTGAGAAATTAAAAGAATATTCTAAAGTGTGCGGAATAAAGCGGCCCCTTGACGGGTATAATTTTCGTAGTTTGCACATGTGTGCACTTTTAAAGCGTGCCCATTAAAACTTTTCGCAGCGTAGAAAAGCGCCGGCAGCGTAAAGTTCAAACATTAACATGCATCGCCCTTCCAGCATGTCCTGCGCATCTCCAAGATGAGCCTTATAATTTATATGTCATCATCGGCGACAAACAATGATTCGGCAAGATATGACGCGCACGCGCGCACGTAATCTTGCGCGGCGTTAATTTCCCAGCTCGATGGAAATCCTGTCAACCACGAGCAACTTCGTGCACTCGCTGCAACTCCCTGCGCTCTCTTCATGCATCGCATTATGAACGAGTAATTTATATTAAACTGGCGTATTATTACTTTCCTCTGTTTGATTTTCGGCGCTGCTGCGGCGGTGTGGCAATGTGGCGGTTGTAGTAATGAGCAATTTATGCGACAAGTTTATAACGGCTGTGGCAACCTTCCAAGATTACACCGAGTGTAACAATATAATTACTCTTCCACGAGAAATCGAATTTAATGCGGTAGGTATAAAATATTTTTCGTTCAAGTTGACATAATTAAATGTGAGGTTAGTTTTTGTTTGCTATTCAAATAAATTTCTGTTTTTTTAGGTAAAACCTTAGGTCAGTCCAGACGTAACATAAAAAGAGTTTTCTCTTTTTTGTACCCTAAAAGTTATTTAATCTCCTAATATAAAAGTACTATCATTAGATAAAATGCCATTTGATGCTACTTAAATCGAGGCAATTTATTTTGCTGACAATGCAAATCCTTTGTTGAATGATGACCCATAGGATCAAAGGATTCAATTAAAAACCCAACATAATGTTAAATAGTGCCCCGGATATCAGCTCCGAAAGCAATTTTCACTGTAGTTAAGTGAATGAACAAGCTGTACGACCATTTGTAAGCCCAAGCGAGGACAATCCGTAAGCCAGGCTGACGATAACGAATATTCGGTGAATACCGAATCGATAATTTATTTATTTTAATTAATGAAACCGTCCCGGTTTGTAAAAGGGGGCGCCACTGCGACCACTGCAAGCGGGGTAAACCGTGCGCGGTCCATTTCGTGGACCCGCTGTCGACAATGGGACCGGTTTAATGGGGTGGCCATTGTGCACTCGCCGCGGCGAATAAATGGAATTCATAATAAATTGCATGACCGTCTGACCTCGTGTCGAACACAAACCCACATTTGATCGCCTGAAATATCAAATACCACCAATTTCAAACGCTGTCGCATGGTATGTACCGGTATACAAAGTGTATACACAAACACTGAATCATTCAGGAGTGTTTATCATGTTTGTCATTACGCGCGAGGGCAAGTTTAGCTCGTTGCCACTTTACCACTTTACTTTAATGACGTTGCCATTATATATTTACGCGTTTGCTCGCGTACATAAGTTTCGCAACGACAACGACAAAAAGACGCTCGAAGTAAAAGAAAACTAAGTGGAAGAATATATTCCCTTCGGTTTCGGTGGCGGGCGAGTAGCAAATATATATCTACACCGAAGCCGGCGGCATATATGCGCCAGGGGTGCGCAAAAAAATGTCCTAGATAAAATAAACATTATGCTAAAGCGACCGCGCGCAGCTTTGACATCTACAAGTAATTGTACACGAGGGAGTGATATATGCCTGATTTTATTTAAAATATTGACCACAACCAAGTCACATTAACATAATTGTATATATAAACTGCTGTTGCTCAAAATAGTACATTGGAGCAGTCGCAGACGAAAATAACAACGCTTTTTATTTTTAGTTTTCTTTGTAATACAACGTCAATTACATGAACATCTACACTTACCCCTTTTTTCTAGATTGCTACGTAAGGAGTTGTTATATAAGTCCTTTGGGCTTTGCGGTCGCTCGAAGGAAGGAAGACGCAACTCCACGTCTTGAATTACTCGTTTACTATTACGTCCAAAATCGATGAGTGCAGTTAATGTTCACATTTACGAAGCACAGCACTCGAAACATTAACACAACTCGTTGTGGTTGTTTAATTTTCTTTTTGAAACATTGAGTTTATGAATTTTATTTATTGACTTGTTCGACTCGGATGTTTAACGCTTGATATTTTCGCGCTGAAACTCTCGCACAACAAACAAGCGAATGTTCGTTTTTATCTGAACACGGTATCAACTTGTGTTCGGTGGATGCGTGATCAATGCGGGAGCGGTGTGTGTGAGAGCGGCGGCGGAGCGGCGGCACGACGCATGTGATCGGCGCTGCTGTACTGAACGGCGGCGCGGTGCTCGCCCGCGAGCGTGAGCGCGCTGCCGACGCCCCCTTCGCCGCGACGCTCGGTGCCGCTGCCAGCCCGCATAAGTTGACGGCGCCGGTCCGGAATCGCTTCTAAATATAATATTTTTTCGAGTGCTCGGCGCCGCGCCGCGCGGACCGACGCTCGTAATTCTAATAAAGCCGCGAATCAAATATTTGCCACGTATGCGCGTGCATTTTATTTTTATTCATTAGGCACGAATAGAATGAGTGAGTATTTAGTTAGTAATGTTACGGTAGGTTGATTCAATTACGTTAATAGTTTCCGGCGTCGCGGCCGTAAAACACGAAAGGGTTGCTCGCCTCTATTAGAAACTACGCCATTATTTGCAGATGGTAATAGGCTGCGATATTAGCGCTCCAATTCTGTAAATTGTACGCCTGGAGCGCCGTTTTATATCAACTCATAAATATGTAGGCTTTAACTATGACGAATTAATTTTACACGCCTTCTATATTTCAATTAAGACGAAGACATCAGTTATGATTAACTAATCATCCTGACATTGTCAATGATTCATAATTATTCAGAATTGCAGTGAATAAGAACAATTCCTGCCAAAATTAAATTTCTCCGAAACCAGAAATATCTTAGTCACTTTCTAGGAATTAGAATCAATGGTGGTGATTTAATATTTCATTATCCACGAATGTGTATACGACAATTATATTATAGGTGTTCAATTGCTACATAAACTATTAAGAACAAATTTCATAATTGGTTATTACAGGGGATGTAAACAGTGTAAACGTTGCGCACCGACCCATGTGTACCTTTGAAAATTGTTTGTTATCACAAACGTAGTTTGCAAATGCTTGGGTGTTGTTTCAGGCGCTACCGAGGTTTGCCGCACAGCGCGGGCCGAGGAAAAGGGACATCGGATTTATCTTCATTTTTATTGTCGAGTTTATCGCATGCAACGTAGCGAAAGCCAAACGGGCTGGAATGTCCGGCCACTCGGCGGCGCCAAACCCGCACCGCCTCCACGTAAACATGCGCGAGGACATCGCATCCCGGCGGAGGTTTTCATATTCGGGGACATTTGTAACCGCAAAACCTTTTATCGAAACACGCATTGACCATGAAGCCCCACCATTTCCTCATAAACGCGTCGTGGAGGCGGCTTGTATCGCTATATTTTCACTTCAAGCGGTTCGTATCTTCACTTCCGGCTATAAATGCACTACATTCATCACATTATCTAATATTCATAAATCATACCGTCACACTAAAAATAATATTTAGTATCCTGTATTACAGATGATATAAAAATAGTTCGTGCACTATATTCAAAACAGCAATTCCTGGTGGAGGGAATAACCTGGCTATATTCCTCACTCATCGATCGAAATGTCAACGTGCCTCTGAGCGTATTAGATATTAACCGTGAAATGTGTCCGTTCAATTCAATTCCGGAGCGAAAGTTTCGCCAAGTGATGGCGAAGAGGTGTTCCTCGGGATGTGGGCGGCTGTATTCCATATCGCAGGTCCTCCGCCCCAACACACACACACATTCTCACAACCGGTTCCTGCTGCGGCGTTCCACGTTCGACTTCCGCCCGCCCGCCTGCCGCCGATAGTCAGAACTGATATCAAACTGATCCGCAACTTCTGACGGCTCTCCGAAATTTAACTTTGGCTCAACTCAAGATTGAATGAATCGAATCTTTCCCACTCAGCTGCAAGTAGGTAGGTATAGGTCTATTTAGATTTACAATTTTATTAAATCTGTTTCTATTTTATTACAACTATTGTTTTATATATTTAAAAGTAGTTCAAGATTGATTTTTCTTGTCGGTATTACAAACCGCAAATTTATGTCGCGTATAAATATTAATGAAGAGTGTGCCGGTTTTGGCGAGGAATGTATTTATATCCGCATGCATGCGCGGATGCTTGAGACGTCGCCTGCCAAATTTGTGCCTTTTTAAAATTTCAGCATGAAGCACCGCTTGCCTGGGCGTCAAGTCGACTCGCGAGTACATCACACGACGCGCTCATGAATCATAAATCCTTAATGCCCCCGCCAGTCTACTCGGCAAATTCCCAACTTGTATGTTAATCCTTAAACGGTTTGTCTTTCCTCAGCGCGTGCACACACATATCTATATAAAGTTCTTGTTACCACAAACCCACAGCCTCCAGTCAATCGCCTGAGAGGAAAAAGAAAACGAGCGTAATTTGGAAGTCTAATGTATAATAGTAAATCTTTGGCATTGTTTACATCAACAGCAAACTACGCCAGACTGAAAACATGATAAGCGCGTTGATATCGTCAATCGACCTGTATAAACCCCTCGAAAAGCGATCGTGGGCGGTAGTAGTGTACTTGAAGATGAAATTGACAAGGGGAAGCGAGGTCAAGAGGTCATATACTTGAGGAAATCTGTCTCGGCGATTTATCTATAAATATTTATGATTCGTTCGGGGCGAGCAAAAGCGAGACACCAAGTTTAGGTAAATCCGAACGAGAAAGTCTTTTGTCGAAATTCTCAGCGTCGGCGTCGTCGTGTTTTCCGACCTCTCCGAGGGAAGATTTCGATTCGTCGCCCTTGTATGCAAGCGCGCGCTCTCCACCTTCTTCTTGTTGGACAATGACTTCTTTGAAGTCAAAGTCGTGCTCCTGCATTTTGGGCCGTCGGCAGAATGCGCGCATCCTGTATACGTGCGCCTGTCGGACGTGATTGAGTCATTCGACCGTTATTATGGTATTCTATCGCACTCTAATGCACCTGTTCGCCTGCAAGCTTGGCCGAGTTGTTTGTGCAAGGAATAACAGTTTTCGAAAAAACGTTGATCGATTCTGCGATGCATGTCGGGATGATGTGCGCCCGCATGCACGCTTTTTCGCAATCCAGCTGAGTGTGCATCCGCATTCGGTGTATGCAGCAACTTCGCCGGCGTTGCTGTTTTGCATCGCGTATCAGGCATGACCTATCAAGTATTAATTTCGAACATTGCGAAGCGGACGCGAGTGGAGTAATTTCACAGAATTATTGTCGCGTCGCATATTAAATCCTAAAATTACTCTACTCATACTCGACTCAAATATTCGTACCTACGGTGTGTTTTTGGGACATTGAATTTTCTTTAAATTCACATTAATCATTTTAATTACCAAAAAACATTAAAAAATTTAATCAATTTTAAAAGTGTATATTTTACGAGCGTTTCTTATTTCATTATGAACCGGAATTTCGCATAAAACTTAATTAAAAGTGCTGTGTGATTACATGGCGTTAGAACAAATAAATTACTGGCGAGTTTTATTCGCATATTTAAACACTCGCGTTCACACAACTAAAATTCTACATTTGCGCCCCCCGGATTGCTCTATTCAGGGTTTAATTAACCCACGGTTCATGCTGATGAGAATATGCAATATATGTGCGTATTATGAGTTTGCGAGATTCCAATTGAATTAAAATTTAGACAAACATATCTCTTCTCGCGGTGCCACGTTTACAGTCTCGGTGATGTCAGAGATGTGGGATTTTTATTTCCGGCGCATTTCTCCCGCATGCGTAAAAGCTTTGACATGCAAAACAGAATTGCGCAGCAAAAAGCCGATAGCAAGTCAAACCGACAACATAGTCTATTCGTGCATTCACCGTCAATCATCCGCCGCTCGCGCGCACATCATTGTACGGATATACGCGTCATGGTGTCGACGCCGCCGCCCGCGCGTTTTTGCAACGCCTCACCTGGTCGGCAGCGGATCGAAGTATGTATGAAGCGTATCGCGAATGTAGACTGTCGAATGTCTTCCATGTCCGCAAACATGACGTCAAGCGAGTAAATGAAAATATTTCCGAGAGCTTTGAAAGCTCGTTATCGCATGTGCGGGCAAAAAATAATCCATGCGAATCCGGCCCGGCTGAGGGTGGATGGGGGAGATGTGCTTGCGGGTCAGCACTTAGAGAACAAATCGCGCAAAAATTGATTCACGTCACATCAAAGTGGCGGGCTATTAGGAGACAAACCGTCGCCAGCAAAATTGGTGGAGATTACTGTTTGATCTTCGTTATACTTCGTCATATAGAAAATTGCGCTCGGTGTATTCCTCGCGGAAAACGCCGCTTTGTCCATGGACCGACTCTCGATGTCTATAGTTCGTCGAGTCCTTTTGACTTGTCGTCGTCGTGCGCATTTCGCAATTTATCTCAGAGCTGAGACATATCTTCTCTACTTCCTTTGGATGTTCACTATCCTGCTTGTATGTGTTGGTAATAAGACCGTCATCGCCTGGGGATGCTCGTCGTATTCCGCAATATAAACAGCAATAAGGATGCAGGCGTATTTGTTAAAACACACGTTGAGCTTTTTGATGTAGCGCTTCAATCGGCACGTTCTACATTTACCATCTTCAATTAAATATTATTAAACTTTACATATCATATCGCATACCAGATTTGCATCGTGTTATCTTAACGTCTTAATATTTTTGGAGGCAAGTCGTTGAAGTTGAAGAGACGTAATCGATTTATTTTTTATGTGGAATATTGAGATAAATATGCAAATGTTAGTCATAGTAATCGATGGAAATTTCACTCACTGACAAATTTTGCTCATAAAACTTTCGCGAGTAGAGCTTTTTCATCGTCTGAAAGTTTGATCAGATCTCGCTAATCATACTGTCTAAACCCGTGCAACAAAGCATTGAACAAAATGGACGTATCAACCGACTGTGTATTCTATTAGATTGCGCTAGATTGATGTGGAAAACACCCTGTCTCTCGAGAACTACTTGACTTTTTCCAAGTTTGTTATGGCTATGTTAAAGCTCGAATGTCTCTCTACAGTATGCATACCTTTTCAATCTTCCGGAAGTACCCTAAAATGCCTTTTAAAAAATGGCATATTTCAAAAAAATAAAAAACATGGTGTGGAAAACACCCTGTATCTTGTGAACAATTTGACATTTTTCTAGTTTCTT